GAGCTGGAGCTAGCTAGCAAGCCCCAGGAATTCTCTTGTCTCTGAGCCCCATGGTGCTGGCGATTGCAGGTCCATTTGCACACTGTCGCATCCAGCATTTTAAGTGTGTGCCGGGCATTCAAACTCACGTCCTCACGCCTGCACAGCAGCCACTCTTACGCCATGATCCATCTCCCCATCGCAATCATATTTTTAAACTCAAGAGAGAAACCAAGGGTTCCTCACCCTTAATACCACTGATACTTGAAGCTGGAAAGTTGAATGGTATGGCTTGTCCTCCATTCGGTAGGAATATGTAATAGTCCCTACACTCTACCCACTGAGCTCCAAGGCCATGCTATTTCCCTCACCCCCCCTCCCCCGCAAAAAAATGTAGCCAAATATTTCCTGATGTCTTCAGGGAGCAAAATTCCTCCTATTCAAAAAATCGTGATAAACCCATTCATAGTCAGGTATTAGTGACTTAATGCTATTTCTTCAACAACTATTTCCACTTTGCAGATGGAACTAAGGAAAGGCCAAGGGTGCATGCAACAATGGCCATTTCTCTTTTCCTGCAGCCAGACAAATCTCCAAGTTCCCAGACAGCAGAAGCACACAGCATGGAAGAGGTGAGCTTGGTCTCCTTTAGGATGCTTCGGAGTAGCTCTACCTAGGGTTTCAAGTTTCTTCCTGAATCCTGGACTGGTTGCTGTATCACCATGTCTCCCAGGTGGGAGAATTAACCCCAGCTTTGACTTTCCCCTGCCCCCACCCCTGGCTGCCACAGAGCCCAAATGACAGGCCCTTATTTGCTCCTCTCCTCCTTCTGCCTCTTCCCAACTGTGGAGAAGAGAAGAAAAAAAAAGCAACTCTTGAGCTTAGAAGCCAAGAATTTGCTGTCTTTGTTCTCCGGCTCCGCCATGGGACTTCCCCTAAGACAGTGATGAATCGCTGCTAGTGGCTGGGCTACAGGAAGGCCCTGGGGGCCGGGGAAGAAATCGACTGGAAAGAGAACACATGGCTTAATATCGCTCTGCCCTCCTCCTCCTCCTCCTCCTCAGCACTCCTGCAGGTACCAGGCCTGGAGCTGAATAGAGAGCAGATTCTCTAGGTGCTGCCCAACCCTCCCACCCCACCCCTGCAAACCCCAGGATGCTCACAGGGTGACTCATTCGTCAATTCTACCAGGTGGGTGACCAGAGCCACATCTGTTGTAGTCTGACTCTAACAGATCCGTTTCCCGTTGTCCCTCATCAAAACACCAGGAAAATACAGGTTTCCAGTGTCTCCTGCATACCTTGGCAGACCTGTGCACAGCCATGGAAGTCTGGGAAGTTGTCAGTGTGAAGACGGATGTTACTACATGTGTGGGTTTGACCTATGGAGAACCCTAATCCCTTCTATAAAGAGATGCAGTAAAGCAGAGTAAAAAACAGCCCAGCCTTCCCCCAGCCGGACCTAAGAATAAACAGCATCAAATATTCATCGTCTGAGGAGCTGACCTTACAGTGTCCTACAATGACTGAGGTTGCCATCCACCCTCTGCCATCACCACCTGCCTCCTCCTTGCTATTGGAGACAAAGTTGCTTCTGGTTTTGCTGAAAGAATAGCAATCATGATCACGTGACTTACCCAGCTTCCACCAATCCGCCTGAATCCTTGCCTTGCCGTAGTCAGGCAGAACTGGTTTTCTAGGAAGATGGACTCCTCTTCTCTCCATCCTCCCATCCCTTCTCTTCAACAATCCCTTCCAGCAGTTAGTTTTCTCTGCTGTTTCCTACCTTCTGAAAGTCTGCCTGCCTCCTGGTTTTCCTTCATCAGAAAAGAAAATGTGATTATGTGCCTTTAGCAAAAGACAGGCATGAATCTCCATGGCCAAGCTCTCCCAAACCATCGGCTTTCTCCATCACCCACGACCACAAAGTTCCTGCACAGGGTTCTCCACACTCCTGTTCGTAGCGTCTGCCCATGCTCTACAGAAGTTGCTCCAGGGGAGGCACAAGCCGTCTCTTGGTGCTAGGCTCAAAGCCAGTGCCCACTTCTTACTTGTCATCACCCATACTTGGTCCCCTTTGACACTATTCCTTCATTCAGAAGCTAGAATTCCAGTTTGTTCTCCTCAGAATATCATTGTCCCTTCGTCTCTTCAGAGCTCCACCATCCCCTCTCATCCCCAGACTCCACCATCCCCTCTCATCCCCAGACTCCACC